TTCTGAGTTTTGCTGCAGGATTCTACTTAGCTGTAAATGGTAAGTTCAGTTTTATACTTACATTTTTTCTCTGTTTTTTTTTTCTTTACTTCTCTTTTAGACATTGACAGTAGGTCATCACTGGATGCTAAAAATAGGTTGGCTTAACTTTAACACAGACTTTATGAGTCAACGTAGCCTTTTAAATCATTTATTTCTTTTCATTCTTCTCTTGTTTTTTCTGAACCAATCCAGATCATATTGGACAAAGATCCAGCCATGTCAGTCAAACTCCCAAGACCATATCAGTCCAGGAGGGTGACAAAGTGACTTTCAATTGTTCAATTCTCTCAAACACCAAAGAAAGCACTGAGCAGTGTTCAGATGAAAACAGAGTGTACTGGTTTAGAGTTGCAGAAGGAGAATCCCATCCAAACTTTGTTTATGCTCTGACAAAGTGCAGTTATTCACATGAAAAAAAGAGCTGTGAATACAGAATGTCCAAAACTATCCAGACCTCCGCAGACTTTGGGAATTACTATTGTGCTGTGGTCACATGTGGAAAGATCCTGGTTGGTCAAGGAACAAGAGTGGAAACAGGTATGTTTTGTTTTAAACTTTAATCTTTAGATAATTGAAAGATAGATATACTTTTTATAGCACAGATATGTCATAAACTTGGAAATATAAATCAACTGAGCTGCATCATTTTTTAGTTAGGAACTTGTTAAAGAACTATCTATCTGCCTATTTATTGTGTCAGAAGAACATCAGGACGTGGTTGTCATTGGCCTTGGTGTGCTGTTGGGTCTATGTGTTWCTGTGATTGCTGTCCTTTTATTCTCCAGAAAATGAAGGTTTGTAAATTTAATCTAACATCCGATTTTTTTGTATTTGTATTTTGTATATTGTATTTTGTAAGTTTTTTACATATTTGAATATCAAAGCACAACAKATTTACATATATATCGTGCTTAGTCAGAATGACTTTCATTTATTCAATTTTCTTTTTCCACTATCATTTGGGTGTGGACAAATACAAACCAACACATTTCAACAACTTCTGAAAAATAAATGTGGTAAATGTGCAACAAGTCCTATAAAATGTGTGAGATATTTGTTATTTATCGTACTGTAATTTTTAGCACAATAATATTTGGATAAAACAATATCCAATATTCTAAATCACAAATATGATATGCGAGTACCAGACCTACTGTGCCTCTGGTTGTGAAAAAAACATACAACTTGTAATTTACAGTTGCCACATTAATTCGCAATAACACAGTTTTTAAGTATTTGTTCTTACTTTACTTTTTTTTTCAAATATAGACAACTTGAGAATGAAGACAAAAGATTATTTACTGACTCTGAATAAGGTGTTTCTACGCTGGACTGAAAGAACAATAGACACTCATGCAACAATATGTGTCATAAAGAGGTCAGAMCTGGTTTTCATTTAATTGTCATACTGTAAACCGTCTTTATTTTAGTGATAGCTTTGACAAATTGAGTTAAAACTCTTGCAAAAATACCAAGGAAATCATTATCCACCTGCAGTACTATAGTACTGTGTATGTGTTTAGAATAAAAACTGCTGTATTATTTTTTCTGTTGTTTTGCATTTGTGTTGTYATATGTTTAACTCATCAGCGTTTGCTTTTACAATTATGTAAAAAATGCCTTTTTTGGTTTAATAAATTAATCTTGTTACTGCAACTTGTTTGAGGCCTTTTGAACATTACCATAAAAATTGGTATTAGACGTCGAGTTTCTTATCTACTTTGCTCTTCTAAGGCAAACGAGCCTCAMTCAGCGGCACTAATAGAACAATAATTATTTGCATTCTACTGGTACTCATATTTAGCAACTTGTGACATAGTTTGGCTAGAGACTGTTTTAGTGAAGTTATGATGTAGTGGCATTGGGCCTCATGCAAGAACATGTTCGTTTTCTTATCCTAAATTTCTCTTACTTTTGTTCGTACAAATGGTTCGTACGAACATGTCAAGTCAGATTCAACAAACTCTTCTGTCTTCAGGAAAAGTGTGTAAATGA